GAAAATTATTTGAACTGACAAAATTGGAATATAAACTGCAGATTAGATTGGAACAACATTAAATTTATAAAAGTTAGCAAATACATTGTGGTGGTACATGAAAATATCCCTATTTTTAGGAAATAGGAACCAAAGGCCAACTTAATCTCAATCGTACATTAGGATGATCTGTGAAACCAGTATTTTTAATCCAAAGGTAACTTAATCTCAATCATACAGGAATATGCGTGTGTATGTGTGTGTGTGTGTGTGTGTGTGTGTACATGTGTACGTGTGTATGAATACACAAACTCTTTTGTAGTTCTAACCAACTTACAAAACATGATTTTTTTTACACAGGATTTTGAAAGTTAATGCAAAATTTTATGAAAGAAGTATGATATTTCAATTCAATAAATACTGAGCATGTAAAGTGTAGCTGAGTAGAAATTATGTAGTCTGTTTCATAATTTTCCAAGCAAAGAGTATGCTGAGGTCAGTATCATGAGTAACAGCCATTACTAAGCCCCCCTCTGTGCAGCCTCCACTCTAGGACCTGGACTGCTAAGTACCCTGCCAGCTTTCCTCACAGCCAGGGGTGGCCATGTCATCCTGCTGTGGCCGAGGAGATAGCAGAGTATTTACTGAAGGTTTCTGGGAAAGTTTGTTTTCTTGCTCAGAGGAAGAGGCAAAATGGGAAAAGTCCCACCACATCCCACTTCCCATCCTTTTCTTGCACTGAATGTGATCGGGATGCCTGGAACTTGATAGAATAAGCTGGAAGACATCAAGTGAAAAGATGGCCAAGCAAAAATAAAGAAGACTCTAGGTCTTTGCTACCATCATGGAGCAGCTGGACCAACTCCAGCAAATGCTCAAGGCTGTATTTCTTATTATGTAAGAAAAATGTGCTTAAGCCACAAACAGGTTAGGGCTGATGCCTGCTGATCCAGGAAGTTGGGGAAAGGTAGAAGAAATATAAAACATAGTAAGAATGAGACCACACGGCACTGTGTGAAGGAAGCCACTCCAAAACAAAATGCCTATTTAAAACCTGGACCAAATGGTATGTTGAAGCTTTCATGGACTGCCAAGATGCTAACAATTTCATTTTTAAAAAGTTAAAGAACTCCTACAACAGTAAACATGCTACAGTGATTTAAGACTTGAAAAGGTCAAGACATCCTCTAATCAGATGGGTTTCAATGCAAACATTATTTCTGGGTGGTCTGCCAAGAGTGTACCTTATTGCCAAATTCCTAATTCAAAACTATATATAAGAATGCCTTAGCTGAAACACAGAAGTGAAAAAAATAAGACTTTTAAACAGCAATCTCACTTCTCTCCCAAAGATAAATGTGCCCATTAACCCTGGATGCTAACAGGAAGATTTCTTTCTCTTATATTCTATAAGACAACTTTTTTTTTTCAAGCCATTCATGAAGAAGTCAGCATGAAAAATAATGATTTAGGAAGTTGGCTTCTGATCAGCTACTTCACTGAATTAAAGTACCATCAGGTTCATAACTTCTAAGTGAGAATATAAAAACATGGATGAAATCCTTCTGCATAAGATCCTGTGCAAACACACGGGGAGGATGTGAGGCAGTTGGGGACAGTGGATTCACATGACACCACATATCCTCTGGTGGAGTTCACCATCTAGTTAGGGCAGGAAGAGATAAATGTGACAAGTTAAATGAAATGTTTCAATAACACTTCTAGACAATGGAAGAAATGTCATAACAACAGTGTATGATTATTTGCCAATAAGATTGTTGTTGATAATAATAGCTGCAGAATTTCAAAGAAGAAGGTTACTTTAAGCCAGGAATGTCCAGGGAGGCTATACAGAGAAAGCAAGATTCCAGTTAGGTCTTGAGAGGTGCATAGAAACCTGTGGGTGGTCACAGGAAGCACATTAATAGCCTCTTAGAAATGCTGGTTTAGAGCTAGGAATGTAGCTCAGTGGTAGAGTACTTGCCTAGCATGTGGGAATCCCTGGGTTCAACCCCCAGCACTACAAAAAAGAAATGCTCTTAAGAGAGAGAGAGAGTGAGAGAGAGAGAGAAATCCTTTAGGATGGGTGACTGGTGGAGGGAGAGAAGCAGGTGATCAGGGGCTAAGGGAGATGATGCCAGGTTAGAGAGGAACACTGGACATTCAAAAAAGAATGGCAGCCAAATTGTGGCAACAACCCAAGTGTCAACTAATGAATGAATTTTAAACAAAATGTGTTCTGTACACACCCAGGATATATTCTTTAGAAAATTCTGACATAGGCTACTTACTACAAGGATAATGCTTGACAACATCATGCTCAGTAAAATGTCATCACACAGAAAATTCTGAGTGATTTCATTGATGTGGAGCAGCTAGAGTAATCAAATTCATCCGGAAAGTAGAGCGCTGGCTGCCAGGGTCTGGGGAGTGAGGAGAGGGGGTTGGCATTTACTGGGTATGGTGAAAAGAGTTCTAGAGACAGATTGTCACGATGGCTGTACTACAGGAACACAGCTAATACCACTTATGATGACAAGTTTTATGTTGTAGACATACATTTTGTAATTTTTAAACATTTTAAGAGAGGAAGAATGGCAGCAAGAATGGCAGAAAGCAAGTAAAAAGCTTGAACTAGACTCAAGAGGGGTCACTGAGGTCTGGCAGTTGGCTCTGCCAAACACGGAAGTGTCTCTGTTCAAGGTTCCAGGACTGCCCACCCTGAGCTCCACCAAGTCCATCTGCTCTGGAGTGGTGAGCAAATATTCCTTTTCTTACATTGACATAGAACCTCTTCCCTAAATTTGTTTAGAAATATTAATTCCTTTTAATTTCATGAAGGACCTTTACAATCTCTTAAAGCCTTTGGCCTCAGTAAGAGCCAGGCTCCTGCAGTCCCTCACTCCAGCCCTTACCTTTCCCCACTGTCCTTGATCCACTGTACATTGATACAAAATGTAGACAAAGTGCAGGTCACATCTGCATGGCTCAGGCACCCAGAGAGCATTGGTTAGTTTAATAAAGAGGTTGGCAAAGTTGGGCTTCATCCAACTAACATTTCTAGTATCTAGCTATCTGTCTATTCTAATGCTAAAGTGGGAACCATCAGAGAACCCAATGCATGGTAGGCTAAATAACTATTTGGAGATGCATACATTCTCATCATGAAATGGCTTTAGAGTCCTCCAACAACTCTAGAGCTAGATCTCTTTCTAGAATTCTGGGGCAGTTCTCACCTAGGCTAAAGGTGTGATGGCTTCCCTCTGAATGTGAGTCCTGGACACAGGGAAATCTTGCCTGCACCTCTGCAGCTGGTAACCTAGAGCTCTTCTCATCATGGGTCCCAGACGAGATGAGTTTGCAAAGCACTGCCACTTGAATTCTGGTCCTGCCACTGGGCTGTAGGTGGACAAGGAAACAATCATTTTTAGAGTGGCCTTACTTTAAAAAGTGAACTAGAAACATGAAAACATTTTATCAGTGTCACCAATAATAAAACTGCCTCCTTGGGGCTGGGGATGTGGTTCAGTAGTAGAGTGCTTACCTAGCACATGAAAGGCACTGGGTTCAATACTCAGTACCACATAAAAATAAATAAATAAAATAAAGGTAGTGTGTGTATTCACAACTTAAAAAAAAAAAAACTGCCTCCTTGTATTCCTTCTGCAACAAGCTCTTCTTCATCCTATTTTTAATCATCAGCTACACTAATGACCAAAACTTATCCACAGCCCATAGGAACTTCAGAACACCAGGCATTGAGCCTAAACTTTTATTCATGAGATTTTTTTTCTCAGTTTTTAATGCTTCTTTTGTTTTGAATTACGAAAAGATGGTGATCACTTTTATTACTGGGTCTTGTTGGGCTTCAGAAGTCTTTAAGGACAGGTTCAATTCTTTAAAAAAAAAAAAAGGAAGAGATGCTTAAAATGTCAGGAAAATGGAGTTCCTATCATTTCACTCTCAAATTTCGCTTTTTAAATGTGGTTCTGCCAATGGTTCAGTGAAAGATGGTTTCCTTATTGTCACTGATTAGCCATGACAGGCAGCAACACGTCTCTCAGATACAGTCTCCCTTCGCCACAATTATCTAGTAATGCCTGCAAGGCAAAAGGCTGCTCAAAACCTCTTCCTTCTGGAATGCTTTTCCCAAAGGCAACAGTTCAAAGCAAACCTCTATTAACGGGAACACTGACATCTGCAGAATTCTCTGGACAGGACAATTCCGCTACTCCCGGAGTGACAGCAGAAACTAAGACGTAATTACCTCTAGTCCAGTCACCAGGAAATCAGGCTCAACAACAGTTCAGAGGTGGAGGTCTTATATACCCACTGACAGCACCCCAACCCCATAAGCAACTCAGCCAGACTGTCACTGTCACTGCATGTACATCCCTCTTAGGGAGCAAAAACCTTTTTTCACTAAAATTCAATGCAACCGACACCAAATATAAGAGAGTATCAAAGTTAAATAAACGTAACATCTCGTATCAGCCCCCAGATATATGTGCAAATGTGACACAAAAATTACACGCTCCTTGCTAACATGGGTCATAACTTACAACAATATAAAAATATGTTTTCTTATCTTTAGCTCTCTTTCTTCTACTTTCCTTTTGTTTATTTTGGAACAAACAGACATCAAGGGGTTTGGAGGAGAAAAGAGAAATAGAACACCAAAAAAAAAAAAAAAACAGAATAAGGGGAGAAGGCAGCAGAGGATGGGCTATGGGACTTCAGCATTAGAGGAGGGAGCAGCTGGGGAACTATGAGATGTCTGTACCTGAGACAGGGAGCAGGGAACCCAGGACAGAGTCATAGGCAGCCCCTCCCAACACCCAAAATCTGGTCACAAGGAAGCATCACCCATCGACCCTGGGCAAGAACACAGCATGCAGTACCTCAGATTGTTCTCTGAGCATAAATCTATGTAATGTGTTTCACGACAATACAGAAATGGCAGAAATAGAGTGCTAAGCATATAATTATGATAATATAAAAATGAACATACTCTGCTGTGGTAGATTTTAATAAGATTTTAATAATATTGGTAAGGAGCCAAATTACAAAATACCCTAGAACACAGGAGTACAAAACCTCAGAGACAAAATAAAAACTCATGAAAACATAAGAGCACTCTAAAAAAGGTAATAATCTTTAAGATAAAGAAACCATTTTCTCAACAAAGGTACTGAGCATGTTTAATAAAAATTAAATGAGATTAAAGACAAGGTACACAGCCACACACTCCCAACCCGCAGCGATGGGGAGGGTGATATCTGTGTAGGTGAAGGCATGGCGCCAGGAGCTCAAATGAGCTCCAGTCGCCAATAGATCTGGAATAAACGGCCTCCAGGTGGGTGGAATTTCTCACAATTCACTTTCAGGACAGGAATTAATTTGCTCGGAAATGAACCACGTTGGCGTGTGCAGGAGAGGCAACCCGTTTCCACACAGCAGAAGCAGCAGCGTGGGGGAGATGCCTGACACTGCCCTCCCCACCAGCCCCGTTGCCACCACAGCAGGGTATGGTCTCGAGGAGGTGACAAGGGGAGATGGGCTGTGTCCTTTGAGAACAATTCATTATTCAGATAAACTAAATGTAACAGCTCTCCGTGACCAACAAACCAAAAATAAGAAGCCAAAACAACAGGGGTCCCCACCCCCAGAGGGATAATGTGCCACTAGCATGTGTGTGGCAGGATAACAGGAACAGAGAAAATATTCCTGATTCAGTGGCGCTGATCATCTGTCAGGACAGATGTGCCACCCTATATGGGTTTTCTGGGTGGATGGGTGGGGGTTTCCCTCAACTCCTGCAGCAGACTTTAATGCTACTGTCACTTGGGTCCCATTTTTTTTTCCAAGGGCACTACATGTTATGCTTCATTTGGGCCAGATGTTCACATCAGTGTGTCTGCTCATCCCCACTAAGAGCACAACAATTATTTATTTGTCATTCCAGCACATGCAGCAGCGAGGAGTGGCTGTTGAAATGCAGTCGGAAACAGAGAGCAGAGGCTCTTCTGCAGATCCCCCAGCATCCCAGCAAGCAGGGCCACAGGGAGGAGACACCCCTCACGCCAGCCATCTGCAGGATTCCTTATTTTCAGCCTTAAATCAATAGTTTAAACTGATGCAGATTCCATGTGACAGGAGGGACAGTAAGGGAGATTTGAGACTTTATATTCTTTAGATGTCTACTGGCACTGTGCTGGCCATTAAAAAGTTATGTGCAACTTCAAGATGAAAGACATTAGCAGCTTCTAAGAAGAGGACAGTCCCAATCTTCTGGAGATTTAATGAGATGGAACTCACTGAAGCTTCTGACTCGGTCGGCTGTTAATTGAATCAAAGTCAATGACAATCTTGCTGCACTTGGGTGTAAATTTCCTAAACATGAAAAACAAAACATAAAGATATTATCCAATGAGTAGTTAAAGCAATTTATTTACTTTGGCTTAAACTATATTTTCTGTGCAGAGGAAAAAAAATGCTCTGGGATTTGTTTGATAGTTTATCTCTATAGGAGCCAATTATGGTGCACCATACCGAGAGAAACATGGACCAGAAAAAACGAAGACACAAAAAAAAAAAAAAAGATGCATGGGGTGGCCTGGTTTGTATGTTCTTCAGCTACCTGAGTTCATGAATTACCCGGGAGTCAGGGATTTCTAACAAGTTAGCTGCACAACATGATATCCGATTACTCGTTTTCCTATCAGATTTATCTTATTTTCTAGGAAATTTCTGCAGCCAACTTGGAGTTGCTCTGAAGTGAATGATAGTAAATTTTCTTCTGCCTCTTATACACAGCAAAATACAACTAGCTTTAGTGAGGAGCAATTTTTTAAAATCATGTTCTGAAAAGGCAAAGGTAAAATAAACCCACTATATTTTTGTACTCATTAGCTTCTTATTCATTACTCATTACTTCTCCAACAACTAAAAAGAAAATTATTGGGAGCTATACATATTCTATTTAAAATCAGTCAATAAGAGAATATCCAAATAATTGGATTTAAAATCTCATAAGACACAATAGTTTAGTTCTAGAGATTCATCACGTAAAACCCAAATCCCCAACAGTGAGCATAGGGGGCCGGGCATGTGACTTAATATGACGGTCCTACCACTGCTGACCAAAACTACCATCAAGCTTTGTAAAAGCTTTTCAGTATCAAATAAATTTTCTGCCATTAATCAAAGGTGACTGAATTTAATTGCAAGTAAAACATGCTACATAATCTTTGCTCAGCAAAGATGATCATAAAAATCCCAAAGACTTCTAATCTCAATTAAAATTTGCTCTAAAAAGAGCTCCTAGTGTTTTGACCTGGCAGGTTACTTTCATCCTAACTTGTCTATGCCAGAGTTGGTACATCTACAAAATTTACAAAGGTTTGGCATTACTATACAAAACTTGTAAATTTTTAAATTTCTCGCTCTTTGAATAATTAGCCTAAGCCCTGGGAAGTTACAAATATTAAAAGATAATCATTAAACAGATTGTCTTCAGATACTTCTGTCACTACTCTTAAAAATCTACCCCTAAAGTAAGCTTTAGATTCTTATGCCATCACATTTCCGAACACCCTTCCAAGTGCGGAATTCAGGCATCACAAGGAGAAACTGAACATCGACAAGGTCAAATGTATTTCTACATCAGCCCTTCACACCACCTTTCCCCCAACTTCTCCTAACTTACCTGAACGAAACCCCAGCCATTTCAAACATGAGCCTCGCTGCTGTTGTCTCATCACTGTCATGGTATTTATCAGACATAAAAATAACTTCTTTTATACCTTAAAAGGGAACAGTGGAAGCCCCATTAGTATATGCATATATAATAGATCCTGCAAAAGACAGGCAGAGGCAGATGGAGTTCTTGTAACATCTATGATTAATTACCTTTTCTAACTGCTTTCAGACAATGTCCAGTTACTAAAAAATATATCTGCTGCTTTCTAATATAGCAGAGGGTGGATTATATTTAATCTGCCCTCCAGTCTTCATGGATTTTTTTTTAACAAATGCAAAATGCAAACATGTCAAATAGTCAAGCCTTAATCCAATTAACAAATTTTCTTTACTGCAGGTAAGCAAATATTTATTCACAAGGCAAATACTCTGAACTTAAGAGGGATACAGGAGGAGTGGCAGGTGCTGGCCAATTGAGAGATTGGTACCACTGGGCTTCCAAGAACGGCTCAGCAGAACAATTCAACCCAGCTCCATGGAGGGCAGCTCTGCTTCCTTTTCCTGCTCTCACCAGGCAGTACAAACCTGAGAGTTAGGAATCCCAGTGGCTCTGCACTCCACCAGCTCTGGGAGGAACAAGGGAGCCAACCACAGAGACCACATAAGCTGCTCAGCATATGCACCTGCTGCCACCTCTGCAGCCTGCAGACGGCTGAGGAACATCCCAGAAGATCGAATAGCAGCAACAGCGTGGGAGCGCGCGCTGTTCCTTAAGGGCGGCTTCTGATTCAATCAGACCTCTTCTGCTCTGAGATCCACGGGACTGATGATAAACAGCCCCTTTAAACCACACATCTGGCTAAACATGCTAAGTCTTTAAATCTCAAGCTGAGAGCTTTATGGAGATAAAGTGTAGCTGAATCTTAGATGTGACAGTTTGAAAAAGGTGAAATATTCAGAATACAACCATGGAGATTTATGGTAACTGTAATATAAGAAAAACTTAAAGTAGTACCATTTGAGTCTTAACAGCATTTATATGCAAAGATATGCTTAGATCCTCAAATATCTACCATGTATTAGCTACAAATTAAAATTTGATATACAGACTCCCAGCTGACCTTGTTTCTGACAGAAGTTCATTTCCCTCCCTCCCCCCTAATCTATGCACAATATGTCAGAGAATGGTAAATTGACAGTAATTATATGCAATGCCTGTGTTGTTTTTTGGCAGCTTGCAGTTTAAGAAGTTGCAAACTAAATTAAAAACATGCTAAGAATCACAGAGGATGCAATTAGTCTTAGACTACCTGGCACCATTCAAAAACAAAACACGGGAAATATCTTGCAAAGTTGATAGTGCAATTAATTTAGATCTAAACAATAGCAATTTAAGATCAAATGCATCTGCAATGAGCTACTGATGAGCAGGCAGCAATGCAAATGTGACAAATGGAAAGGCCGGGTTCCTACCTGCCTGGATGATGAGCTTAGCACATTCATTACATGGGAACAAGGCGACATACATGCTACAGCCCTTCACATCAGCCGAATTCTTGTTCATGATGGCATTTAGCTCAGCATGGCACACTGTGAGTTTGAAAAAGAAAGAAAAACTTTGATTGCAGTTCATGAAGAATTTACCAAGTGTTAGGCATTCCATTCCCCCCTCTGAAATAGACTTGATAAAAATAAATTGATTAGAAACAGCACATATGGAGAACACCAAATGAGGGCCACATGGTCTAAAAAACCGTCACTGCGGCAGCCCTCAGTCTGTGAGCACTAGAGCAGCCAGTGGGGCTGAGGTCAAGTACCTTCACCCACCTTAGGCCAAGCAATAGCTCATCGCTCCACAAGACCCTGGGGTATTGAATTGCCCACATAAAATGGCTCATTTGTGTGTTGATATGCACACACAGGGGTACTCTGTGTGGCCGTTAAGAGGGCAGGGAGCAGTAAGAGCAAGAGAATCAAGAAGCAAAGCTGAGCATTTCTACCCTGAGGGATCTGCTTCACCTCATCATTCTCAGTCCAAGACACACAGGAAAAACACTAGATAACCAGCAGTTCAGCTTTTATAAGAAAAACATTCATCCACTTAACAGCAATGATGAATCAAGCTCTTGATGCTATCCCATTCCACCAATGATCCCAAAACGAGGGTCGAGGGCTATCCCCTGGCTTGCCTGAGTTAAGGTCAAAGGGAGCCCCGTCCTTTCTTCCATCCCCATACCTGTCAAAGCTGGCTGGTTTCTGAGGTCCAGTTTGGCTAGGTGTTCTACCACCTGCCAGCAAGGGCGTTCCTCCTCTGGAAGGAGAGAGAAGGACTCCAGCACAGGCTGGTTTTGAATCCCTCGGCCTGCCCATGGTTTCTGTATGGCCATCTTGTATCATTATTAAATTTCTGTGTTATTGAAGACTTACTACATACACACTACTTACGGCAGTAACGGGCAAACTTGTCCCTGAGGAGCTTCCAAAACATTCATATCTGTGTTCCATACCCAGAGAGTGTGATGGTCTGGGGTGTGGCCTGCACTTGGGAACTGCAACTACCCATGGGTGCCTCGTGTTCTGCAGCAGCTCCAAGATGCTGCAGGCAAAAAGCTGACCAAGAGCTCTCTCGGGAAATGTTAGTAGGTACTCACATTTAAACGAGGAATACCATTTTTGAGGGGGTCTCAGCCATGTGTGAAAACAAACAGTCTCTGGCACTACAGGGAAATCTAAAGAAATAAGCTGCACTTAATCAGATCCCATCCCATCAGAGAATAATCCTCGCTGGTCACACGGGGATCTGGGCCACACCTCCCAAGACTCCCTGGTTTAACAAACCCCAAGGCTACGGGAGGATAAGAAGAGGAAACTCAAGAAGGAGCAGCATGGCCAAGTGGGCACTGGCCTTGGACAGGCTCCCCTGGCCCCTTCTCCCCTGGTGACCAAGACGCTGGGAAGCTGGCATTAACACTGCTCAGTGTTAAAACCAATTAGATGTAATTGTTTCTTTTATTTCCCCCTTGAGGGCAGAGCCCAGCCTTCTAGGTTCTTTGTAACTTCCCCAGAGTCTAATGTGATGCCATGAACATAATGGGTGTTAAATATTTATTGAATGAATAAAGAAGGAAATGCAGATTCCAATTATTGATGGTGACATTGGGAAATACCAAAAGTCCTCCTAAATTCAAATATCAAAAATAGGTTTTCCCATTTAATAAATATTTTTGATGGTGTTGGTATTAATATTCAGAACTTCAGAACTAGAGTCTTTGAAATTGTTACGAAACACTATTATGATGTCCGCTTTTCAATCTCTTAAGAATTGACACACTGAAGGCAACGATCTTTCTCCAATTCATCAATTCATCCGAGGCAGTTTGGGGCAAAACTTAACACTATCAGTCTGGATTCATTAGTGAAAATTACCATATGAAACAGATTCTGTAGGGAAGTATCTGATGTCCCTGTGTATCAAGGGTGGTTTATAGAAATAACATACAGACTTCTTTTCTCTTAAAAAAAAAAATCAAAAGATGAAAAATACAGAATGTCTTGTTAATAACACATGAGGTCTCTGGACAACATGCGTGCCAGAGTGGCAGGTACAAGGGAAACTCTCACAAGGAGTAGTCCATAACCCACAATCCCACATATTCAAAACAAGACAATGACAAAAACCAAACCCAAGCATTCAGTCAAGAGCACAGGATGTACCAACTCTGACTTCTCCTGCTCAATCCTACACCCCTTCAACTTCAGACACAGCCAGCACCTGCCTCTTCCCCAGTCCTCAGCCCACCAAGGCCTGTCTGATTAACACCTGCTTTCCAGACTCACCTGAGGGGCCGAGGGAGGGAGAGAAGCCCCAGCTTAGGGGAGCACTGGCCCCTGTCTACCTGTTCCCCACCCTATTATTCCCCATGAGCTGTTGAGCTGTTACCCAGGTCCTGATATCTGGCCTCGCCCTTCTGGCTTAATACCTGCCTCTCTGGTCCAGGGTCTCCACTGCCCCTGTAGTTCCAACCATAGGTTCCTTCCAAAACCTCCTCGCAGGTCCCTTCAGGTTCATTCCACATTAGGAGACATTACACCATGGGGCCTCAGGCCCAGGAGCCCATGTCCTCAGAGAAGATACGGGGCAGACCAATTTGATGGCCATCCATTCAATTTGCTTAATATAGGTTGGTCTGAGAGAAGTGCTGGGGACTCATTTACGCAGTCTAGTCATCTATATTGATCACAAGTCTGCTTCCACACAAAGAGCACTCAGAACCAATGTGTCTGGCCTGTACCTCGCTTGCTCCGAAGCCCAGGCTAGTCAGACACAGAGCCGACCCCTTCCCCCTTTGCATTCTGCACGTTGGCAGGCAGGCATGGAGCAAGAACTTTTGCAACAGCAGGGCACCAGGCTCAAGGCCCAATTTGCCACTTAGAAGCTGGATGACCTTTGGGCTGGAAATGTAGCTTAATGGCAGAGCACTTGCCTATCATGCACCAGGCCATGGGTTCAATCCCTAGTGGGGGCTGGAGGCAGGAGAATAAAGGATGACTTTTGACAAGGTGAACAAGTGACATTTTGGTTTACAAGAGTAACATTGGCTCTAAGAAAGTACATTCCCAACTAACTAAATAAAAGTATAATTTTTAAAACACCAAATACATTGATTTTTTTTTTTTTTACTTCTTTCTAATATTCTCAGTTTCATTCAGTCCTCCAGAACATCTGATCATCTCTAAAACTTTTCACTAAGAAAACACGGATCTCCTCTCCTGGTGCCAACCCTGAGGCCCCTGCTTGCCTCTGCTTGGTTTTCTTTACTTTAAACACAGATACTTACTCCTCATTCTGAAGAGGTCATCTCCCAGCATCTCTCCTTCCTCCTTTCAAGGAGAATCAGTATTTCAACAACAGCTTCCTCAATTTTTTAAATCATCATCTCTTGACTTTGTACTGCAAATATAACCTCTAGTTTTCTTTGAAACGATGTTTTCAAACTACAAGTCATAAAACCAGTTTAATGAATTATAATCAGTTTGTTTTGTTTTAATGAAACTGACAGGGTAAAGGCAGAAACTGGAATGTATCCCTCATGCAGGGTTGCTTACTTCTAAAACCTATGTTTACTATGTTTCAGGTAATACATTTACTGAGTAGCCAAGTAATAAATGTGAGATTCACTACTCTATGGCAACCTGAAGGCTCTGTCATTTGCTGATTAATGTTCACAAGCAATTACTGAAAAAGAAGGACGACGAGGAAAGGAAAGAAAAAGGCCTGATTTGCAGCATCCACCAATTTTTGTGGAGTAAATACCTCCCAATGTGACGGAGCTGGGAGAAGTGCAGAACTGGCTGTGAAAGCTGATTGACCCAGCTCCTCCACACCACTGCATGATCCTATCATTACCAAAACCCACAGCCTCTTTTTGGTTGCAATCTTTGAATTCGCTGTTCTCTTGGCCCTGGAATAGTGGACTACTATTTACCCTAAAACCTTCAGGACCGCGATACCCTGTCTTTTTCCTACCTTTCTGTGGATCCTTTTCTTTCTTCTGCCTTTCTGGGCCCCTCCCAAGGTTTCCATCCTAATTTTCCACTTCTTTCCTACAGTCACTGATTTAAGGATTCATCTATTCTAGATTCTCAGATAACACATCTATTGTAAAACTCTGGATTCCACATTCCTAACCCTAATTTCCCATCTTCTTCTCAAGCCTTCTTTGGGGGTGTGTGTGTGTGGAGGGGATCTCTGTACCTTTTCCCACTACAATGAACATTTACAGATATCTGACAGCAATAAACTAAAGAATAAATTTCTCTAGTGCTAACATGCCTAAAAAGAACTGCAGCAAGAGCCAAAATATATCTGGGTGCAATCACCAAACAAAGACTGGTTCTGTTAGTTTTAAACATAGTTTTTGTATGCAGAGTAGGAATAAGGACAAAGTATTTAAAATACACAGCATCTAAGGACTACTGATTGTTAAAATTGTCCAAAAACAGATGAATTTTCCAACTACCTAGAGTGACATACTGACAGCTAAGCAATAAGCAAAAGAAATCTTCAAATAATTCATATGTATTTGATAAGCACAAAGAGTGACACAAAACCCTTCAATTACTCCCAACATTGTTTAAAAGAAAGAGAATCAAATGCTAAAAATACCAGATTAGTGCTTATAAAGTTCTTGATTGCCAAAGGAGAACCTCTGTTTCAGGTAATTATAAGACAATTCATGTGCTTTGGTCTTGTCTTTTCTTTTCTATTACTAACTGTCAGAATTCAGAACTGCATTAACCTTGGACCACTAGGAAGAGATTGTATAATTAGAAAACTGTATTTTTCAAATTCTCTCTTACTAGGGCTTGATTAATCCTCACTGTCTCATGTAGGCGGTTCTTTAGAAGTTTGACAAATTAACAGGATATACTCTATCCTTCGTTGAATTTAAGAGATTCAACGTTTTATAGATTTAACTTCCATCTTATTTGATATTAAGGCTAATACAATATCTATTTTTACAGTAGTACTATTAAGGTTACTCAAATAGTTAAAGAAAAAAACTGCCCTGAATAATGCTCAACAAATT